TGTAGTCGTGTTTTTTATTTGAACAATAATAACTTCAAGTAGTGTCTACAAACAAAACCTGTGACAAGGCAGTGCTTGAAACTCTTTACCAGATGAATAGTAGTATTCAATTTCTTTTTTACGTTTTCGGTGTTGTTTTGCCGCAAATTTGCCTTGGTATTGCAAAGTAGTTGACGATGGAAAGTTCCAACTTTAAGAACACCCTGTATATCAGTAAACTCAAGATGGGGGAGTTCTAGCTTCCATAGGGGAGGTGACGAGGGATTTGGGGGGGTTAATCACCTCTATGAAAATTTCAACTAAAAAGTTGCGGGGTTCTTTGCTGAACTAGGATACATCGCGTACCGAAATACATCTTCAGGAAGTTGTTACGCATTAGGAAGCTCAAAGTTTCAAGATTCCCTAAGCCCGTTCTGCTACGCCACTTGCCGGGAAACTGTCAGCCATTAGAGCCACAAATAATTACGGAAATTCGTGCTTCTCTCTACCTGGCCAGACAATTTCCTGCAGACCGGCGTGGCTTTCGATGTATTTTTAATAAAGGTCCCTGGACAGCCTTTCGGTCGTTTATTTAAGACCATCGTCGCTGGATGCTGGCCCTTTTTTCAGGTAGGATAACCCAATATTTGTTGTGGGGGCAACGAAGCGAATGGTTATTTTTATTCGCTGGTTTGGTATGTGGAGGGTTGAAATGAAGCTGATATTTATCCGATGTGACTTGGGTATTTACTTTACTGCTATTTGGGTGCTTTGGGAGAGATTTAGCTGTCAGGTAAGCCAATGGAATGAGTTCGATCCTTCCCATTTGAATTAAAAGGAAAAATATATATCGGCTACATCAAATCAATATCATGATACTATTACTCGAAAAGATAAACCCACACGTGACGTCACTCGGTGACAAAATTCCTCAAACGTTCAGTTTTATATGGCGCTTTAGCACGTAATTTGTGATTAGTTTCATTAGTTTATTAGGCGTGTTTCAAATAAGTTTTCCTTTGTGAAAAATAATTGAAAAAAAAACAGTGAAGTAAATATTTAACTATAGTGTACTGTGTGCAGTGGTGAGTTGTCCAAGGAATGACAACAAGAAAAGCAGAGACGTTTCTACAGTTTTCGAAAGAACAAGTTTCCGAACAATGGGTTTCGAAATGTTACCAGCAATACAAATCAAATGATTTCTAATGTGATGAACTTGACCATAGTTTCGGCAATTTTAACGCAGTGACATTAAAATTGACCAACAATTATTATTAATTAGGCCAGTTAGTGTAAGTGCAGATGCCAAGCATCTTTTTTTATATGCAAAATTTTCCGGATGCTAAATAGAGATATAAAAGAACAATCTAGAATTGGAAAGAGGCAAATGATGATTGTAAAATAAACTCAATAAAATACAAATTTTACTTTTATTAACGCCTACCCATCGAAAAGATTAAAAAACATTTATTCAAAATTATAAAAATTCCATTTGTACTGTATCTTGGTCTCCATTCTTTTTCTGTAAAAACAGTTGATATAACAAATTGATGTATATGTCATTGATGCACAAAGCTATTATTTGAAACCGATTTGCTTCAATAAGAAAGTAAGTCCCTTTATTTGGACCCACCAGGACCAGGACCCGACAGGACCAGGACCCGCCACGACCAGGACCCACCAGGACCAGGACCCTTCAGGACCAGGACCAGGAACAACATATTGGTAAGAGGACTTGAAACTCTTGATTTTTCGAAAACAAGAGTTTCAAGAGAACCTAGCAGGCCCTCTATCGATGATCGCTTAACGACATCGATAGAATGTGCGAGGTAAAGGGAACCAACCCGGCGTTCCCAGAGACTGAAACACATGAGGAGACGTTGTAGCAGACCGCAGGTCACGCACAACACATGGCCCACCGAGACGCTGATGAGTCGGGCCACGCGGAGGTTTAGGGTTTAGTGGGTATTAGGTGGTCTCCTCAAGACAACCTGGAGTCCCACACACGCCGTAGCTCGGGCTATGGTGTGGTGCGTAAACGCATTCCCCCCTCACCAAAAAAAAAAAAAAAAAGCTTTAAAAAAATTGGTTTTAAAAGCTGTATTTTCAATGATTAAGTCTTCAAGTTATTCAGAACCTATCAACTTGTCTATTGTTAATTTTATAACTGCAATGTACTCTGCCTATAATGATACGTTTCATTTATTAAATTGTGTTGGCGAAACATCAAAATATAAATAATACATACTTACCACTAAAATTATAATGTAAAATCGATAACACAAAAGAATGTTAGCTAAATATTCCAAGAATTCAAAACGCTCTTATAGCATTTCATACCGACCGGAGGAATATTTGTCACGAAGTGACGTCAAACGCTAATGAGTACGAAATTCGATTGCAAAGTTATAGTACCATGACATAATTGTTATCTGCAATGTATAGAGACACACTTTGTGAAAATTGCTTACCGGAAGGACCACAAAAGCAATTTTCCAATAATTCAGCAATCTAACAGCAACACATGAAAATAGGTTGGAAATGTCACGAAGTATGAGATTTTTGCAGCTATATGGAAGACTCGGGCAAAGGCCGAACAACTTAAGACTTCTGCTATTATTACACGCATTTTAATTAATGTAGAAACAAGGAAAACATCTAAAATTGTTTTTCATTCATCCGTCAAGAACATACGTGTAGATGATAAAAAATACAAATTATCCACTTTACTCAGATCACTAGGATAAAGTAATTAACCACATCACAAATTAAGTACCTATTTTTATATAAAAGTATGATAACATACTGAACAAAACAACTATAACGATCTCAAATTCTGAAGACGCTTTGTAACACCAGTGACGTATACATTCTGATGGTCATTTTTATGAATTCAGCTGCAGGACCCCTGCTTTGCTTTTCTTTGGGTATTTATAAAATATATGCACCAAAATACCAGTTTTATATTCACTAACAACGGAAACTAACAAAATTCTTCAAATATACGTATACGTTCAAAAGCCGTTCATTATAAAATTGGAGTTACGAGTATAAGCTTATCTATCTTGAGAATTTAATCTTAAACTAACTGTCAATTATTCAAGAATATTGAACACTTATGCTTTGTCTGCAAAAGGGGGAATTCGCTTTGCTTTCAAGATATTCACGAAAAAAGAAAGCTATTGTAGTCTGTGTGTCAGATGGAGAATGTCAATATTAATTCTGTGGGCAGTATTTGGGACACGAAATAGAACTTCAACAGTCATATAGATGAAAACATGAATAAAACGGATGCTTGGCTTTATTAGAAGACACTAGATACTGCAACAACGCTGCTATCCTATTCTCACTGTATTATGCGGTTATAGTAGTATCTCTTTCATGTATATTATTTTTAACCCACAGTACGAAGTCCACACATGGAGAATTGAGTCTGTCCAGCATAAGTTCTTGCGAATTATGGCTAGTATCATTGTCCATAATCACGATTATATATTACCTCTTGCTAAGAGAAGGGTATTATCGGATTTATGTTATCTTCACAGAATCATGAATTGACTGCTTTTACCTTTCATCGAAAATCAATATAAATGTACCGATAAGAGTGAATTCTAGATACTGTACATCCTTTAATATTCCGACTTGTAGAACTAATATTGGTTTAAACTGTCTACTGGTACGAATGCCAATTTTTAACAACTATGGTAATTTTGCTGATATTTTGCTTGTGAAGTGGAAAGTTTAAATACTTGATACAAACCAGAATGATGGTCACTCCCTAATGAGCTACGCAACTGAATTGAACATTATCCCATTGTATTTTCACTTTGAAGTTGAGTCATTCATTTTCAGATAATGATTGTAGAAGGAAGATAAACCAAAATATGTGTGTAAAAATAAAAGAAAAATTAAAAAAAAAATTTTACCTTGTTTTATAAAGTATCCTCCCGACAAGTATTTCAGTGCGGACCTGTATTTGAACGTGAGGTCTTGGAGCACCGGCATGTAGTCCCCATGTGATTAAGCCACCTGATTCACGAGCCCGTTGTACTACATTAACAAAGGCACGAGGGGTTGGTTGCACTCGATTGGGAAACCGATCCGCATAAACATGTGCCATTTTTTATTTCGTTTGAGCCACGCAACAGACACCACTATTCACTCACGCGTTACCGACTGACACTGACTGTATACGTATACAACTGAATGAAATAATTGTAAAAACATCGTTCCAAATTCTTTCGCTTTTTTGTTTCCGATGCGATGAACCGATAAGGCGGATTATATCCGTTGTCGCCAAACACGAGCACATAATATTATTATTGAGACAGGGCGGTACTCAAACTTCCAAAGGGCTATAACTTTGTTACTTTAATTTTACCCGAAAAATGGTAAAGGAAAAAAACATTTCTTTTGATCAGATCTACTCACTGTTAAAATAAATGACTCACTCAACTTCGAAGTCACCCTGTATAGAGATTATAAGTAACAATAATAACTATACTGTGGATGTCTATTTTGATATTTAAATGAATATAAGCTAAATAAAAGAAGCTACCTATTCTACAGACACCAACACCCTGAACCTGCTTTGTTTAAATAAAGATCTACTAAATTTGACGCATGAGGCACTTTTCATTGTGACCCCATGGCTACGCCTCTGATCAGTGTCCACGAAGTTTATTATACCGATCAATGCCGATTACCCCATTAGATCAGTGCCTAGTAACATGTGAAGTAACGCAGCAGAATAGAGGAGGTGAGTTAATTTGGGGTTGTGGGTGAAATATAGACATGAGGATGAAGTTATTAGGCTTTCAGGTAGATACTAATTACAGAAAATTGCCCTAATGTCCTAGGCCATTGAATATATATGATATTATATGATCATAAAAATAGTAGACGTCTAGACGTTACTGCATCTTACCAGTAATAATTTGTGAGAATATTACTTTGTAATTGACTGAAGATTTGAGGTTTTCAAAATAATTATGTGGTTTGGAGTAATATGGAATAACCCCGGAAATATCTGATTACTTTTCAGACCTATAGGTCCTTTCTGATAAGAGTTTCCGACAGTCCCGAACAGTTTTTTACAGTGGACCAAATCAATTCAATACGTATGCTAGGTAGCATTATATTTCACTAATTTGTTTGGATGACTGTATTTTACAGTTACGACAATGAGAAAGCTTTATTTGTTTGAACCTTATATTCATAACTTACCACATTCCACTCGGATATGGAACAGCGATCTTACCTAAAAACAAAAAAAAAGACAAATTAGATATTTTTTGGAAATGCTCATATCAAGATGCATCAGACCAATTTTTCGGATCACGATATGATGTAAAAAAATCCTTTTCATTAATAACTCCACCTTAATATATCACGAAGAAAATCATAAGGTTACATAATAGCATGATTGGAAATTACTTGCACGTTCATTTCGTATTTTAGATTATGGCATGCATACTTAAATCTAGTCTTGTATCAAAGCAATAACTTTCGATTACGAAACAATAACGTGCATTGCATTTCATTGTAGATTAACCATGTTACACACTAATAACGTGATAATAATCGAGGTTTACGAGATTCGGTACAGTGCAAGAGCGTGTAAAATGTTGAAAGCCATATCATAAGGATCAATAACAAGATCACAACAAAATTTAGGAAATCAAAGTTTTCATTCAAGTCCGAGGCAAATTGTTGATGGTGTCATGTCACGTCTCTAAAAAATGGGGTGAAGGAGGTTGACTCTGCACTTCATACGCAATATTCAAGTATTAAGTTCAGTCATATGAGGAAAAGTTAATTATAGACATTATTTCGCTGCCCTACCGGTAGTTACTGTTCATCTGGCAACGTTGTCCCTTCCCACATCTGCACGACATCGCCGCAGCCAGTTGATCGAAAAAAATTCTCTATCATTCTGTTTTAAAAGAAATGTACGGGAAAATCTATGACGTGTGAAATATGGCAGATAGGTGCATACAAATACCGGGGTTGGTAGCGCATAAGTACACGAAGATCAAAAAATGTACTTTACTTTTTTACAAACATATTTACGGAATGCCATTTTGAAAGTGCTGCACTTGTGATTTCAGGGTGACGTTTCTTACAAATACAGTCGCTGATATAAGAAACAAGATATATTATTTGACCATACTTACAAGTAATTTATAATTTACTGGTCTAAAATTTTTGTGGAATAGGGCCCCAGGTGGCATACATTTAAAGTAGCTAGATAATTAAAAATCAGAGCCTTGCTGTCGTTAAGAGATAGGTGTCGTTTGAAGCTACTTTTAGAAAGTAACAGAATGACAAAGATAAAAGGGGTATACATTTATAAGATTATTCGAGAACAGTTTCAACATTGTCTATAATACGAATCAACCTCTGATTGTAACTAACTGCTTGCTTAGACATTTTCACGTTTGATGCCTTGCCTGAGTTCTCATTTTCTATTTGTCGCGGACAGTTATACTCCGACCAAGTAGCATTAGTCGGTTTGCCACTGATTTCAGAAACCGTGACGCTGCTGCGATACAGATGCCGAGCCGTGGTCATAAGCGTCTGTTTGGGAGAAGAAAGGACATCGAAGAAGAAAACAGGATTTGTTGGATCAGGAACTAGTCTACGAGCATGTAGCGCGTTTATGGTCAGTACGTCTTAAATGTTTGTTCTATTAGACCAACAAAATACCTGGCTACGACTTGCTCAACAGAATCCTGAATCTTTAAAGACGGTAACTCAAATTTATTTGTGCGAAGATCACATTGATGCAACATTATATAAAATTATTCTGAGGTTATGATGCACGAGATTGGTTTTGAACGGACTTCAGTAAAGGAACTGTATTTACAAAGCCGTAGATCACGAATCTATGGTGTATTTACACCCAAGATAGAATGGATGCGTGATTGCCAAAAGCCAGAACGGCGTACAGGGCCGCATTCAGGGCTACCTCCGAATGATGGACTACCACCAACGTGTTGTAAAACAAAGATGACAGTATTTAACAGAAACAGAAACTTAACAAATTACTCAAATACACTTAACAACAACAACAGCAACAACCAAGTAAGGTGAATTCGAAAACACGAGCACGCAGTGATACACGCGACGGACGGTGGCCTGAGTGCAACTCTGCCTGCCCTGCCCCTGCACCGCGCATTATTCCGCCAGGCGACCGCTTGAAATTTAATGGCGAATTGACCAATAAGAGGCGTTGTCCCTACCTGTTACCGAGAGATCACGCGCTAACTGTTATTATTTACATATCATCTTGAATTTGGATTCAGTTTAGGTTGAAGACAAAAAGGTATCAACCATCACTGCGGCAATTTCCTGCAAATTTGTGCTTTCTGCTTTTACAAATCTAGTAAAAATATTTTTTTACGATAGTTAGGAGTTTTTTAGAAATGTTCAAATAAGACAACATTAATCCATGAGTGGCATATCGATGACGTTTGTTTTTTTACAATTTGTATGACGTCGCATCATGGCCGATAGCGTTTTCACCGTTTCATATAAAAAATAGAAAACTCGAGGTCTTCTAGTCATTTTAAACTACAATGTATAGGTTGGCTCTTGTTGTGGACTTCGTGTGTGATTTTTTCCCTCACCATCTCTGTTTCCTCAGGTTACACCCGTATTTGGATGTATGGGCATGTGTATCTACTTTTGTAGTTACATATGCGCATTCATTTCGGGCCTGATGAAGCCAACCAGCAGAAATACGTATCGCTCGGGTTACCTATCCTATTTTCTGCTCAAATCCACTTTCCTTCTTTTTTGCGGATTTTGCCCATTATTCTCCTATTTTTTTGTTATATATATACAGGGTGACTTTGAAGTTGAGTCATTAATTTTCAGATAATGATTGTAGAAGGAAGATAAACCAAAATATGTGTGTAAAAATAAAAAAATAAATAAAAAAAATGTTACCTTGTTTAATAAAGTATCGTCCCGACAAGTATTTCAGTGCGGACCTGTATTTGATCGTGCGGTCTTGGAGCAGCATGCCCTGACCTGTGAGGTCTTAAGTCACCTGATTCACGAGCCCTTTGTACTACATTAACAAAGGCACGAGGGGTTGGTTGCACTCGATTGGGAAACCGATTCGCATAAATCCGTGATGCATCCGGGAGCATTTTGTAAAGACTGCCCCCCCGTAAATAAGAATTATGTCCACAAGTTCAGCATTTTCGTAAACATGTGCCATTTTTGATTTCGTTTGAGCCACGCAACAAACACTACTATTCACTAACGCGTTATCGACTGACGAAAAACATCGTGATAAACGTTTCAAATTCTTTCGCTTTTTTGTTTCCGATGCGATGAACCGGTCAGGCGGATTATATCCGTTGTCGCCAAACACGAACATATACCTAATATTATTATTGAGACAGGGCGGTACTCAAACTTCCAAAGGGCTATAACTTGGTTACTTTAATTTTACCAGAAAAATGGTAAAGGAAAAAACATTTCTTTTGATCAGATCTACTCACTGTTAAAATAAATGACTCAACTTCGAAGTCACCCTGTATATATATATATATATCCTTGAATTTCTTTGGGTAGAAGGCAAAGTATTGCATAAGCACACTCTTATAACTTGAACTCGAGCTTTCGATGGACTATGCCATAATCGTCTGAAGCTATGTAAATAGCAACAATAAACAATTAGGCGAGATTGTTGCTGAAATTGTTCTGAAACGACAGTGAAAGGGAACACATAGTCGACGAACAAAAGACTGGACCGATGAGGTTCGATTAGGTCGGAATTATGATATTCTATATATACAGGGTGTCGGCAAAGTTGGGGTTTTCCTTTACACGACGTGTAGATCTTGAAAACATAAGCAATTTTTCTTAGTACCATATACACCAATGTCTTAAGGGAACCGAGATAAAGGGCTCTGCAACATCAAAAATATCTGAATACCGTCCTGTAGCCCCGACTCGCGAGATCCCCGAGTGGTACTAGGACACTAGCTCAACCCGACGACAGAACTGGGTCGGGGTCAGTGTGTCAGGTCAGTATGCAACCTTCAACCGACGGTTACAGTCACGCGTGTAGAGGTAAACGAACCCGTATAATCGATTGCGTTTCAAAAAACAACAAGCACTAGAGACGTGGCTAGGGAAGTGCAAGTATCAAAAACTAAAGTGTGGCAAACGCTGCGTGAAGAGGGGCTGTATCCGTTTCACGTCCAACGTGTACAAGCCCTTCAACCTGACGATTTTCCAGCAAGAGTGCGGTTTTGTGAGTGGTTGTTGCATCAACATGACAATAATTCTGACTTTTTGAAGTGCATATTGGTGACAGACGAATCTACGTTCACGCGTAATGTGGTGAATAACTTTCGCAACACTCATGTTTGGTCGGTAGAAAATCCGCACGCTGTACGTCGGACACATTTTCAACAAACATTTTCGGTGAATGTTTGGGCTGGCATGGTGGCTCATTGGACCATTTATTCTCCCAAATCGATTGGACGGGATGCAATACCTAGACTTTTTACGCAACATTTTGCCTTCCTTTTTAGAAGATGTGCCATTAAGTGTAAGACAATCAATGTGGTTTCTGCACGATGGTCATATTTGTTACCTCTGTTCGTGATCTGCACCACCGCCGGGGTCTGCTCGGTAGCGCATCAGCTGATTTTCTGTTGGAGCGGTATGATTTCGGGCAGAGACGTACTTAGCCCTTCTCGTCAACTGGAGAGTGAGTAGTTTTTCCTTTATTTTTTTTACTTGGTCGCCCTCGTTTCACTACAAGGGTAGTTGTTTCTGAAAAGGAACACCCCAACTTTGCAGACACCCTGTATATATTTTTAAATTCGACTTGCGCTTTTAAAAATTAAAATCGATATCCTTCATTTTTCTAAGCCAAATGCGGTAAGAAACACTCATATATTCTATGAAATTAGATACCAAAACAAAAGGAAGTAGCATAACATATCGTACGCCACTGCTAACGTGGCGTTGTTTAGTACCGAAACTCGCCACGTAAGCTGTGTGAAGGAAGTGTTACGATATTCTCTTCCGTCTTGGTAACAGATTATAACTTGCGATATACCTGTACATTTTTGTTTAGGTTTAAGCAAATCTCATTAACATTCTTGATAATCCAAATCATTAGATATATAGGTGGCAGAGATCTTTTACGAGCTTTACTTTACTAAGGGCGGAATTATCTCACGACTTGAAAAAGCATTGTCAGATTTTACAGCCTTCACTTGTGACTTT